GAAAATATTGGGAACCAAAATGGAGCAAATTATATTCCATGTATATATCCTTAGATCAGTATGGAGATTCCTTAAAAAAATGTGGAATGGGGGCTGGGAATGTAGCTCAAGTGGTAGTGTGCTTGCCTGGCATGCGTGGGGCAATGGGTTCGATCCTCAGAATCACATAAAAATAAAAAATAATAAAGATGTTGTGTCTATCAAAAACTAAAATAAATAAATAAATAAATAAATATTAAAAATTCTCTCTCTCTCAAAAAACATGTGGAATGGAACCACATTTGACCCAGTTACCCCACTCCTTGGTTTATACCCAAAGGCCTTAAAATCAGCGTACTACTGTGATGCAGCCACATCAATTTATAGTAGCTCAATTCACAATAGTTAAGCTATGGAACCAACCTAGGTACCCTTCAACAGATGAACGGATAAAGAAAATGTGGTATATTTTACACAATGGAATATCACTCAACCATAAAGAAAAATAAAATTATGGCACTTGCCAGTAAATGGTCGGATCTGGAGACTATCATGGGAAGTGAAATAAGCCAAACTCAGAAACCCAAAGGCTTAATGTTCTCTCTGATATTTGGATTCTCACATATAATAAGGAGAGGGGACAGAAGTTCACTGGATTAGACAAAGGGGAATTAAGGGAAAGGAGGGGGTGGGAATTGGAAAGACAGTAGAATGAATCAGACATAACTTATCTATGTTCTTATATGAATACACCACCAGTGAAACTCCACATCATGTACAAACACAAGAATGGGATTCTTATTAGAATAAGTTATACTCCATGTATGTATGATATGTCAAAATATACTCTACTGGGCTGGGGTTGTGGTTCAGTGGCAGAGAACTTGCTTCACACATATGAGGCACTGGGTTTGATCTTCAGCATCACATAAAAAAATTATGAACAAAATAAAGGTATTGTGTTCAGCTACAACTAAAAAAATTTAAAAAATACACTCTTCTGTCATTTATATCTAAAAAGAACAAATAATTTTTTTAAGAATGAACCACAATATTACGTATAGCTATAAGGCACTAATAAAATCCTTAAAATATTTCTATAAAAAGAATGTTATTAAGCAAAAACATAGTTACTATGATGTCGATTGTATTTAAAAATTCTTGGGGTTGGTGGCTCAAGGAGTAGCGAGCTCGCCTGGTATGCATGTGGCCCGGGTTCGATCCTCAGCACCACATACAAACAAAGATGTTGTGTCTGCTGAAAACTAAAAAATAAATATTAAAATTCTCTCTCTCTCTCTCTCTCTCTCTCTCTCTCTCTCAAAAAAAAAAAAATTCTTATTTATTCAAACAAATTCATAGGAATAGTCATTGAAATATAAATCCAGTTAGCATTCTAAGCATTTTAATTGCTATTTTATGCATTTTTTCCATAACTCAAATGTTGCCCAGTCTTCTGGAGTCCCATAATGATCAAATCTCTTGAGCTTGAACTCTAGGTATCCAGACTAGCTGTACACATTACACAGTCCTTCTTTTCCAGGGTAACTACTTTCTTATATACCTGTTCACAAACCAGCCCAACTTATAGTCAATTTTCCCAATCCCTGAGGTCAACTTCTGCAGTTATTTTCTTTTTCCAGTATCTCGGCCCAAATACAATCAAGAATATAAAGTTAGTGTGTGGTAAGTGACTTCAATTAAAGTATTGGTGAGAGGGTAAGCATATTTCCATGGATGTCCAAATAGGAAAAATTTAAAACTGAATACATCTGACAGAGAAACTTTCACTGGCTCTTTTGTGCCCAGATTTCACCTTGCCTACCACAGTTTTGTTGGGTTCTGTCCTCAAGGCAAGAACTCATCCCTTCCATTTAACCCCTCTTTTCCTAATTTCTGAGCTATTTAGACTCTTTCTGCAGACTGTTGTCTGAAAAAAAATCCAACTTCTTTTTTTTTTAAATATGCAAAGCAATTTCATTCTCACCCTGGAGCTCAGCCTCTGCTCTAGACCCATCTTGCCTCTCAGAAATTGGGGAAACTTTTCTGAACAAAAACATCTATCCTGGATGTGCACCTTTAGCCAAGCAAAAATACAGCAAAAGCAAAGACACAGATTTTACTTTCTTTGGAAATTTGATAATGATATCTGGAAATGAAAAAAAATTCAAATCTTAGGTATGCTCCTTTCTAATTAGAGCAAAGTGTAGAGGTAACTGCTTATTGAAAATACTTTCCAAATTTTCTACAATAAGCACACATTTCTTAGTAAAATAAGATATAACAAATATTACTTTAAAAACAAGCATTGTTGATTGATGAATGTCTTCAAAGTACCTTAAGTTTTCATTTCAGAAAATATCTCGTTTTTCAGTTCTGCTCCAATCTGGCCTCTTGCCTTAAGTCCCCCTCCAAACTCAACCCTACCCTTTCACCTTTCTCCTTTCCGGTTTGCATCTAACAGTAGTGGGATAAAAGCATATGAACTTCAAAAGGAGAGGAGAAAAATATTGTCTCTGAGTTAGAGGGAGAGTTCCACAAATTCAAACTCTGCTTGTCATAGATGAAAACTATACATATGCCTTTTCAATTGTAAGTACTTGTTTAGATGCAGCCAAGCTGGAGTCAGATTTTAGAATACTCCACTGTATTTTACATAACATCTTCAGAAAAGGGGATTATATAGATGGTAGTTATTAGAGTTTAAATGCATAAAAATATCAATATTTTTAGATATATGTTTGTGGTTTTATATGTTATATTAATTCAAATTATTTTAGTAAAGTACAAATATATACATTTTTTATATACATTTTGAACTTTTAGAAATAGAATTTGTCAGGTCTTAGCATATAAAACTCACTACCTAGACTAGCTCTTTAATAAAATAACATGTTAAGTTTAAAAATCTTATTTTTAGAAATTTGCTCTTACTATTTGTAAGTGAAGGAAACCTATAATGTTAGTGTATATACACACACACACACACACACACACACACACACACACACACATACTTCCATGAAACATAAGCTTACACTATTTTCATTTAGGGTTTTAGTTCTTAAACTGGTTAACACTGCCACTTTGTGGCAAAGATTGATTACTGAAGTTTAGTTTAAATGTTCTAAAAACATTCTCCTTAATGGCTTATCATAACAGTGGATTTTTGAATGCTGATGAATGCAGTCTTATTCTAAGTTTCCAAGATAGTATAAGTTGCACTAATAAGAAACTTTAAGCAATAATATATATTTTTAGACATGTTCCCTTAAATTGTGTTCAGTTTCACAATATTCAAACCCAATATTCTTTAAAGAGGGAAAACCCCCAAAATTCAAAAAGCAAATATATAAGTGGTCTTAAACTGATGTAAACTTTCAAGAGTCAAATGCAAAAGAAACTCCTTAATCAGTCTTAGATTGCTAAACTACATTTCTAATTATATTTTTTAAAAAGCATCAACTGGAAATTTAACAAATAAAATTGTCCCTTCTTCTAATACAGCAAAAGCCAGTATCATCCATCCCCATAATAAATTCTGCAAATTGATTTTGTAAAGCAAACAGCAAAATCACTTTGTCTCTTTCCTGGCATTTCAGTAAAAAACAAAATAAAAAAAACTGTGTTTTCCTTATTTTTTCTGGATTTTAAGTTTTGATATCTTAGTTTCTTTACATGCAAAATGGAGATAATAATATTGCCTACCTGTTAGATTGTTGGGAGGATTAAGTGAGTAAATACAAGTAAAGTGTTCCTTAGAATTTTGTCTGACACCATAGGAAGCACAATTAAATTTAGATCTCATTTTTTATTACAAATATTGTGGAACAAAGTCACTAACATACCTACATCTAATTTTTATTAGGCTTGGAATAGTTCTGTGATATGATTTGGTTTACCTGTCATGTTAAGAAGATGGACTTTCTAGGTACAATTTGTAGACAGCATGGGTCTAATGGTGATTGGGATTTCTGGTTTTAATTTAAAACTTCCATCTATAGGATGGCATTGGATCCTACTCCCATTCTGACATTTACTATACTTGCAAAAATCCATAAATATTTTAAAGTTCTGGTTTGTTTAATAAAATGGAAGGAAATATGTATATATCACACAGTTACTGTCATGAGTAACTGAAAGAATGCATATATAAATAACTTAGCACAGTGTGAGATTTAGGATAGGCTCAACTGAGTCCCATGGTATGTATGAATAAAAAGTCAACTAAAACAGTATTAAGACTAGTTTCATAAAATACACTATTAAGAATAAGTCAGCAGATAAAATGATGGAAGGAATACTGGGCCTGAGGAGGATGAGGGGTAAAATGACACTATATGTGATGTCAGAGATATGGGGATGGAGAATGAGTACAGTGTAAGAGGCAGGATGGTGTATCTGGCAAAAATCCTGGACAGGGAGTCAAATAGACTTGAATCTAAATTTAATCTGACTACTGTCATGAGGCCTTCGAAAGTTTGCTAAGTCTCTTGAGACAATTTCCTCAGAGTGGGGATTAATAGCATTGTTATAAGATTAAATCAGAATATGCAAGTGGTACACACTGAGTCCAGGTCATAAAATAATAAATAGTAGCTGTAGCTATGTTATTTTTAAAGAAATATTTTTTTTTGCATTCAGGTCTTGAGCATCTCATTGGGACAACTCCTTTAAGCATTCTAGTTTCTACTATATGTGAAAATCATAACAGAAATAGGATATTCTATAAGGACTTGGACACACAGGGAAAGTGAGGTGGGTGGGGACAAGTGTCTTTAAATTGGTTGTTCAGAATAGTAGACTTCTTGAAGAGATAGCTGGGAACATACTCTGAAAGTCCTCACCTCTGCCATCACCCTCTCAAAATTTTAGAGAAGAAAATAAAGTAGTACTCAAGTGGGATTCACCCTTCTTCCCACCCTGCCCCCACCATAAGTGGGTGGGGCCACTGTAGGTATGTAGATATGGGCATTGTGATGTCATCATTATGACATCATTTTGATAAGGTGACTGTATAAGGTGGGTAAGGTGGTAACATTCCCTAGGTTCATTTTCTTCTTCCCCTTCCAGCTGGCTGGTAGGGAAATGCCAAATGCCAAGCTTAAACCCAGCCAAGCTTGTAGCTGTGATCACTGGTGAATACATCTCCATTAAATCTGAGGCATCAATAACCTTCCTTAGGTAACTCTCTCTAATTTCTAATAGGCATATCTTGAAGCATAGTCAAGTGAAGAAAAACTAGAAGAAGCTCACAGCCTCTCACTGTAGCACTGCGCTTAAGAGATCCTGTTCCATCAGGATAATTATTGGCCAGTTAGTCATCTGCCAAACACTAAAACATCAACCAGCCCTTGGCCAACTCATCTTCAGTCAACCAGGCAACAATCAACTGTGCATGAATCAATCAGGTATGAAACAATCAAGCTTATCAAACATGAACCAAACAGGAATAAGCCAGCTAGGCACAAGCTTACTTAACATGAACCAACTAGTTGGGAACCAACCCAAAATAAGCCTACATGATGTGAACCAACCAGGTGGGAAAAAATCAGGTTTCAGCCAACCAGGTGTGAAGTTATCACACATGAATTTACTAAACACAAACCAACCAGACATGTGGCAACCAAGCATGAGCCCAACATGTATGAGGCAACCAGGCCCAAGACAACTAGGAATGAATCTACTGGATATAAACCAACCAAGCATGAAACAACCAGGAATGTGGCAACCAAACACATGCCAACCATGTATGAGAGAACCAGGCCCAAGCCAACCAGGCATGAATCTATTTGACACAAACCAACCAGGCATGATGCAACGAAGCATGAGTCAACCAGGTATGAGAGAATCAGGTCTAAGCCAACCAGGCATAAATCTACTGGACAAAAACCAACCAGGCATGATGCAACGAAGCATGAGTCAACCAGGTATGAGAGAACCAGGCCCAAGCCAACCAGGTGTGAATCTACTGGACACAAACCAACCAGGCATGATACAACCAGCCATGTTACAATCAAGCATGAGACAACCAGGTATGAGAGAACCAGTTCCAAGACAACTAGGCATGTTGCAAAGAAGCATAAGCCAACCAGGTGTGAGAGAACCAGGCCCAAGTCAACCAGGCATGAATCTACTGGACACGAACCAACCAGGCATGTTGCAATCAAGCATGAACCAACAAGGTATGAGAGACCCAGCCCTAAGACCACTAAGCCTGTTGCAACAAAGCATAAGCCAACCAGGTGTGAGAGAACCAGACCCAAGCCAACCTGGCATGAATCTATTGGACATAAACCAATCAGGCATGAAACAATCAGCCATCTTTCATCCAAGCTTGAGCCAACCAGGTAGGAGGCAAACAGGCCCAAATCAACCAGGAATGAATCTACTGGACACAGTCCAATCAGGCATCTTTCAACCAAGCATGAGCCAACTAGATAGGAGGCAAACAGGCACAAATCAACCAGGAATTAACCTACTGGATACAGTCCAACCAGGCATCTTTCAACCAAGCATGAGCCAACCAGATAGGAGGCAAATAGGCCCAAATCAACCAGAAATTA